CTTCTATACTGGACCCCTTTTCTGTTTTCCTGATAAAACTTGAATAAGCCTTTCTTGTTCTTCATATGCAAGTTTTTTCATTATAAAATCCCTATCCCAAGGCCAGGTCCCTATTTTATTCTAACTGAAACAAAAAGAAAGAATTAGGGGGAAAAAATAATAATTAGGCTTTGGGTGGGGTAAACAAAGACAGTCGCCTCTCTGGATTGAAATCTGGACTCCACGATCATTTTGAGGAATTTGTTAAATTAATTTAAGTGTCAAACCCCGAGAAGGATGACCATTTTCCAGTTTGACAGAAAGTTGCTTTCGACGGAATACCAAACCCTGGCTGGCTCGTTTCCCTGTGCACCCCGTGCTCCCTCTGTGCACGGCCGGGGAGAGCGCACGTGTGGGAGCATTTGGCCTGAATGGTCACTTGTGCTAGAAGCCAGGCTCCAGAGACTCTGGGCCTCAGCCAACATCCAGCTTGCGGAAACAAAAGCTGCCTTGGAATCCTTGCTGCATAAACTGGGCTACCTGCTTCCATCAGGGAGAACTCAGGGAGCCAGCGCCAGCACCCAGAGCCCCTGATTCTGAAGTGCCCTCATCAATAGTGATCATTTCTCAGTGCATTAAAAATAATTACTTAACTTCTTAGAGCTTTCCCTTTTGGGAGAAAATGCCTCCAAGCTTGGGACACCTGTGGGGCTTTATCAGATGACAAGCTGACATATCGGCTATTGGATGCTAAGTTCATTTGCTATGTGGTTGCCTATGTTTGATGTGGATTCAACTTCCCTGACAAAATCATCCAGATTTCTGCCATGCCGAGGAATCCGTTTGTTCAAACACATTGCACTCCCGTCCCTGCCAGTTTTCACAAAGCAGGCTGGCTCTGTGGAAGGGGCGGCATTTCAGAGGTAGGAATTACAGAAAGGAGCCTGCCAGCCTCTCCCTGGGAGCCCATTCAGCTCTATCTCAGCCACAAAGGAGAACAAAAAGCCAGGTTGCTTTAATATTCCCGTGCCAGAAGAAATATTGGGGTAGCTCAGACCTCGTAGCTGCTCAGAACCAAGGCATGTGTTTGTAGGTGGGGGTGGTGGGAGGGTGTGCAGAAGAAAAGAAATATTCTATTTGGATCAAGCACTTGATTGCTTTCCTTGCAAAGAGCTCTTAAAACAAAGATATGTGTGGCTACGCTCTGGCTTTTCCATCACGCAAGCTCCATTTCTGAAAAGCCCAAGATAGTTACATTTATAATGTATAATTGATCTCTTATTAGGGTTGTTCCTATATCATTGTAAAATACCATCACTTTGAGAAACAATGGGAAGAATTTTAATACCTAAGTGAAAACCAAAAACTGTAGGGTTTCCATGTTTAAAAAAAAATAGGTTAGGCGAAAAATCTGTTCCAACACTGAGATAATTCAAGGCTATTTTAGCAACTTTGCTGTATTATGTTCTGTAACTGCTACAATGGTGACAGCAATTTCACTTTTCCCATGGACTCATGTATTGCTGTCGGAAGTGATGCCTTCCTGACAGCCTGTGTCTGCCGCAGAGCTGGACAATCTGGGTGACATTCTGTGGGTGCCATTGCCTTTCTAATTATCTGATCTAGAAGCATGGCACTAGAAATCATCCAAGAGGCAACGAGTCACTCATAGGGCATTCAGTGGCTTGATGTAGTGAACCCTCTCTTACATGCATGAGAACGCTAACACACGTGTGGTAAATGGCCTCCAGATGGTCACCTGTCTTTCAGTGGCTTTACTGCTATGGCTGCTGTTACACAGGCAGAAAATTAGGTGTGTTGCTTATCCACGGGCACTATTGTGAGTTTGTGATTCAGCCTCAAGTTAGGTTTAAAGGATACATTTATATACTGCAAATAAAAACAATGGGAGTTGGGGGCCAATCTGTGCTGTGATGGTTAAAGGAAATGGATTCCACATGGCCAACTCTGTCCAGCAAATGCATGTACTTTCTGACAGATTGAATACGTGTACTCACACACACACACACACACACACTCACACACATATACACAAAAGAACTTGTATTAAGAATCAGGAGTCGGGACCAGCAGTTGGCGTAATGGCTATGTCGCTGGACTCCCATGCAGTGGACCGCGGTTCGCGTCCCAGACCCGGTGGCTTAAAACTCACACCGGGCGTGTGTGTGTGCGTGCCCAAGATCCCAAGAGGAGAATGGAGGAGAAGGGATTGCGGCGTGACCATTCCCCCTGGGGGGTGTTTTCTCACTTTCTGTCTCTATGTCTCTCTGTCTGTCTGGCGAGCGCACACGCCCTATAGCGAAAACCTCTGCAAAAAAAAAAAAAAAAAAGAATCAGGAGTCACTGCCTCCCATAACTGTGAAGGCTGGTGAAAACTAAGATGCCGTAGTTTATTACCAAGAGAATCCTTTCAGAAAAATGAAATGGACTTGAAATGACAATCTGGTCATGGCAAAGTCTACAAAACAAGGCAAGAAAAAAAAATGGCCAAGCTTACATACTAGAGTACAGAGCAGATAATGATGTAGAGAATTTCAAGTTGCTATGGAGATGCTGTCTGGCTCATTGGCTGCAATCTTGCACCCATCAGAAGGCACCAAGCTTTCTCTAAGCTCAGAACAAATTTAGAGCCATTCAAGGGGGATCTGTTTGCCTTCTACTATGTGCCCAAGACTATAGGTCGGGCAAGATCAAAGAGACCTACAGCTTGGTCCCAGCTGAAAATGCACCAGTGACAAAGTTGTACTCACACAGTGACTGTAGCCTGATACAGCTCAGAAGGTAATTACTTACCCAGAAGTGTAGTGCAAACAAGTGCTAGGTGGCGTAGGGAAGGACAGGGTGACCACGGACCACAGTTACTGGGAAGGAATGTCTACAAGGGAGCATTCATAGTATTTGGTCACAGGAAGAGAAATAAATGAAGACACCTGAGCACCTCTCCTGGATGCCCAGAGTCCAGAACACATCTGAAGCTCAGGGGTCAGATGCAGGCTTGCGCTGGAGGTGGGATTTAGTCTTCCGTGTTGAGCGTGAAGCAGTGGACAAACAAGAGACAATGCAGAGGGTTTTAGGGTAGGGGAGCTACTCCGTACGACGCTGTCAAGGTAGATTCATGGAAGTACACCCTAGTCCAAGCCATAGGATGCTCACCCAGCGTGAGCCCTAACGTGCACTGTGGACTCGGGGTGTTTGCCATTGCAGTGCCAGTTCACGACTGTAACTGCTGTGGTTTGGGAGGATGACAGTGGGGGAGGCTGAGTGTGAAGCCGAACGCACGCGAGAACTCTCTGCACTTTCTATTCAATATTGCTATGACCCTAAACTACCTCAAAGTCAAGTTTACTAAAAGACATGAACAAACCAGTACAACCACAAAAATAACTACCAGAATTGTAACAAAAAAGCAAATTGGTAGTCAGAATGTGGACAGGTTAACGTGTGGCAAAGAAGGAAAAACCATTCAATAAAGGCAATGAAAAAGCCATTCAGGTGAGGAAGGGTAGACAGCTAGGGGATGAGCCGGGAAAAGCAACAGTAGACGAACAGGCCCTTCCTGGGAAGATCTCAGGCCTCAGCCATGGGTGGAAGACCCCACCCCACCCCTGCCCTGAGGGAAACAGAAGGTTTCAGGTCTGAGTGGGAGGAAGAATGGTGAAGGGGTGACAGGGCAAAGATGGGGCGTCTAATAATGCATGCTGTGGAAATTCTGCAGCTCTGGTCCTCATTCCTTTGTGGGAGAAGTTAAGTCGTCCCAGCATGTCACCATAGTAGTGACAATATCTTATGGTGAAGTCAGGGACAGAAAACGCAGTCCTTGTCTTGCTTCAGTGACTGATTTTTGACCTGAAACTAATTATTTGCTCTGATTCCAGTTGGTTTATTTGTTTGAGTGATTGATTAAAATGCAGTGTCATTGTCACATCATGGATCATTTTCTTGACCTCTTTGGATTAAGGGATGCCCTGACTACCTAACATTACAGTAAGATAAAAGACCCAGCAGAATCCGAAATAAGGCCATTCAAAATAAACATGTCAGGATAGGATAAATAGCCCACGATTAATATTACCCCTTACATCCCATCTCCCATTCAGGGGGGCCTGGCTTGGGTTTGATACTCATGAATAGGTCAAGTTTATTGATTCCATAAAGGCCATAATACAGAGAAGTTTATGCTGATGGCACCTGAACGATGTAGAGTTTGTTGTTTTTTGAATCTATCACACTGAGTACTTAAAGGCACTGTCTGATGAGTAGCTTTGGTATTGCGTGGGGTCATTATGCGCACGCAGATCAGTCTCTGGATGAATGACCTTCGTCTCCCAGCAGAGTCCGCCCGGCCAGGGTTATTGCTTTAATAATGCATATGTCTGCTGCTAATGTTTACCAGCCGGCTAATCAGAACTCCAGAGAATACATGCCATGTTTGCACTGTTACAAGGTAGACATCATATTACGATTAACTTTATTACAACTGGAATGTAATCAGCGAGCACTAGCTCTTTTCATTTTTCACAGCAAGGCTTTAAAATAATTAAATGTGTATACATACAACTCTTGGTACCATTTATGCCTGCCACTGATTTTCACAGCAAGGATGCATGTACTTACCCATATATAGCCGCAGTTACGATGAGCTGTACCGACGGTTTTACCAGTGAAAAGGGGTTGTTTGGTGTAAACATTGTGTGAAATAAGATATTTCACTTGTTTTCTCAACCATACAATAAAAAACCTGATTTACCAACTGGGCACTGGAGGAACAATGAGAAAGTAACTGTAAATGTTGACTGTTGATATATTTGGAGTGCATTTTGAATTGCTAACGTAAGAGAAAATAATCCCGTGGTATCTTACACGTTTGCAGATGAAAAAAAAATTCTGTGTTAAACAGAGTCTTTTCATTGTTTTTTTAAATCTGAATGAAAGGAAAGAGTATTTTTCTAAAGATCTTATACTTACGCATAATGACATTTAATATCATTCTCTCTTTGCAGGCCTCGCAGTGCAGATTATTTTATGCAAGAAGCTAAACGGATGAAGCATAAAGCCGATGCAATGGTGAGACCTTTTTCTTTGCAGATACGGTCTTCAAATGTTGTTTGCACCGCAGCCTCCTCATTGGGGCAATATAGCTGGGGTAATTATAAACTCTATTACAAGGATGGCTGGGTCTGTTAAATAGAGAAATGTTTATATAATCAAGTGTTCATAGCCCAATAAATTATGACTTCAACCAATAATGTCTGGCTGGGAGAAAGCCCCGGATAAATGAATATTTCCATTTAGTCCTAAGGTCTGAGTAGTAACCAGAGGCAGTGCAGTCAGTGGGTGGTAGTATTATTTTTTTCCTTTAAAAAAAAGAAATGTAGATTTGCATTTCTTTCTCTTGTGATCTTGACCAACACTTAGCTTGGTCCCAGCATCAAATCCTTTTTCAAAAAGCCTCGTGTTCTTCATGTGTGTCTGCCAAAATGAATGCGTCCTCTGAAACTACAACACAGAAGCTATTGGGTTGTTGGAAAAGTCACAACATATTTTTTTCATGTTTTTCTGTGCAAAAATGTGTCATGCCTTCCCCAACAACCCAGTATTATCTGCACATAATATACTAAAACCACTGTGGTCTGATGTTTTCCATGGATAACTTTTCTTGTTCAGATTACATCTTGCTTGGGAAACTTGACACTTTCGGGCAAGAAGATCTCTTTTTACAAGGGATCATATGTCTGTTTCATCTTAAGTCTCCTCCTAAGGGACTTACTTCTTCCTTCCTAGTAATTGTCTTTCTCTCCAGTGTTCCTAACTGAGGTTACTCAGGGTGCTGGAGATGAGTAAGCCACATTTCAAGTGACTTTTAGAACATTATTCCAGTTTGGAGATGTTTACACCATAACTACCCTTCTCTCAATTGCAGTCATGTCACTCTCGTTACACTGGGGTTTAGGGGAAACAACCACTAAGTATTTTTTGAGGTAAAGAGAAAAGAAAAATGGCCAGCAGCAGTGGTACAACAGTAATGCTAAAGCCATATGGGAAGGTCCCAGGTTCGCATCCTGAGTTCTCCCTGTGCATGCTGGGGATGTGCACATGCCCGTGATCCTGGCTGCTGAAGGCCAAGGGTAGATGACAATATGAAGACCCTCTTGGGGGTGACTGTCTCTCTCTCTCCCTCCCTCCCTCCTTCTCTCTCTGCCTTTCTGTCTCTCTTGCTCTCATGGAAAAAAATACGTAAGCTCTAGAAAACAAAAGAAGAACAGAGGGAAATGGAAGACCCCATTTTTATCCACACAATCTGCAGTCCAATGTAGCGTTCTGATCATCTGAAGAAGCTGACGCATAGTTACTAGAGAAGAGCACCAGATTTTTTTAAGGTTTTTGCCATAGAGTGCATGTGCTCACGAGAGAGAGAGACAAAGAGACAATGAGAGGTAGAGTGAGAAATTGCCCCTCCTCCCCCTGCCAATGGGAATGACCACACCACAATCCCCTCCCCTCCATTCTCACCTCAAGACTGTGGGCGCACATGTGCACACACCTGCCATGATTTTCAAGCCACCAGATCTGTGACTGGAACCGCACTTGGCCATGTAGGATCCCAGCACCTTAACCCCCAAACCACCTGCTGGCCTGAATCTGCCATCCAAGGTTTGCTGGCATTTCTCATTCACCATCACCTTGCCTGGGCCGGCCTTTCCCATTGACTGTTTCCCAGAGAGACCCCCTGCCCCGGCCAGCTGGCCCCCTACCCGCCTCTAAGCACACCGTGCTGATGCCAGCCAGCGACCCTTTGTACCTGAAGGACTTCACATTGACATGCACACTCACACACTCTCATTCTCCAGCACACACCTTCAGGATCCTCCCCAAATCTAGCCAAGTCATAAATCTTTCCTTCCCAGTATCTTCCAGGTTTCCACCCTGAAGCCTTCCCACCCTTCCTGGGCCCCTGTCACTTGCCTCTTGCGCCAACTCATCTGCATCGGTCTCCTTGTTTGGCATTTTGTTGGTTAATGACAGACTGCCTTGCACTCTGAACTACTGCCTGGGTACATTTTCTCTCTCCAAACATATTATATGTTCCTTGGAAGGTGCTTTTGTGTATCAAGTGCACATACCCTAGAATCAAGTGCTTAAGAAAATACTTATTGGATTAAATGACTTCCTCATCTGAAAGTGTTGCCAAGAAATACCGCTTTATAACCCATTTGGTTTATAAGCTGCTTAAAATTTTGACTTGCTAATGAGGGGGAATTTCGCTCTGTATTTGTGTTTTCTAAGGTATCATTACTAATGAATTTTTATTTTTATTTTTGTTTCAGTGAAAAAGCTTAGAGTAGTTTTTGGGGTATGTGTGTCATCCCTTTTCAGCCCTCAGCTAAGATTAAGTGTGGAGTGTATGCGTCATTCTGTTCTTATTGAGGACTGAATCCTTCAAGAACTGGAGAGATTTTAAAATCCTAAGTAAGAATGTGGAATTATCCACAGAGACTAGCAATGTCTGGAAGCAGGAGCTTGATATGCAAGGTTAGATTTATGAGAATTTAAGCATATAAAGCCGACTCATGGTTACCCTTCATGATGTGGGCAAAAGTTGACATCACTCTGGACAACTACAGAGACTCTCTAGAATTCTCTTCATTCTTAAATTTCAGTCTTGTGTCCCATTTTGGCAAAATTGAAATAGCACCTTGAGATTTAGCTCCTTTTCTTACTCCTCTTCACTTTCACCCTTGAGTGAGTTCCTAATTATTAATGAAAGAAAGTCATATGAGAAGGGGCCAGCAGATGGCATGCTGGTTAAGGCGCTGGACTCCCACATGGTTGACTGTGGTTTGAGTCTCAGACATGGCAGCTTGCTGTGTGTGTGTGTGTGTGTGTGTGTGTGTGTGCGTGCACGTGCGCACGTGTGTGTGTCTGTCTGTCTGTCTCTGTCTCTATCTCTGTCTCTGGTGAGTGCAAATTTTAAAAAAATACTAATAAAATTAAATAATTATTTTTTAAAAAAACGTATAAGAAAAGAAAGGCATAGAGAAGTAATGTCACAAATAACACAAAGGGTAATAACCAAGACCCTGAAGCGTCAATGTTGAGGTATACAAATAAAAGCACAAAAACTCTCATCTGGAACCAGGCCTATCAGATTTGATGCATATTTAATGTAGCCTAGAGGGACAAGGAGGGAGGTTGCCAAATCCTTAGGGGTGAGACAGAGAAAAACAGAGGCCCAGACAGTGGTGCAGTACGACCCACGTGGGAAAGGCCCTGGGTTCGCATCCCAGGTCCTCCCTGAGCACTCCAGGCGCACACACGCGTGCCTGTGGTCTGGGCAGCCGAGACTGGGTGTATTGCAGCAGGAGATCCTGTTGGGGGCACCTGTCTCTGTCTGTCTCTCTCAGAAACAAATAACAAAACTTCAAAGAGACAGAAAATTAGGGCAGCCCTGACGTTCTGAGCTCCGTTGATTGGCAGTCGTTACACAGATTTGGTGCAATTCTGTTGTAACTATTCACTTACCTACCCTACCCCAAAGCAGTAGCACTTTGAGAAAATAACTAGAGAAGGAAGTGTCCTATTTCTTAGCTCCAGTCACAAGATTTTGGAGCTCACAAATCAGGTTTCTCAAAGTGTGTAAACTATTAAAAAAAAAAAAATCACTGTTGGGACCAGCAGTTAGCATAATGGCTATGTCGCTGGACTCCAATGTAGTCGACCGTGGTTCGAGTCCCGGACCAGGTAGCTTAAAACTCACGCCAGGCGCGTGTGCGTGCGTGCCCAAGATCCCAAGAGGAGAATGGAGAAGGGATTGTGGCATGGCCATCCCCCCTGGGGGGTGATTTCTCGCTTTCTATCTCTCTGTCTCTCTGTCTGTCTGGTGAGCGCACGTGCCGTATAGCAAAAACCTCTAAAAAAAAAAAAAAAAACCACTGTTAAAGAAGACACCACATTGACTCTCTCTTGATCAGGTGGAGAAGTTTGGGAAGGCTTTGAACTATGCAGAAGCAGCCTTGTCGTTCATTGAGTGTGGAAATGCAATGGAACAAGGCCCCATGGAATCCAAATCGCCCTATACGATGTATTCAGAAACGGTCGAGCTCATAAGGTAGGCACCGTGTCTGCTTGTTTGAGGGGTGGGGGAGGGAGCTGAGGAATGTATGTACCACAGAGACAGAAAAGAATGTCGTCAGCAGTCACAGGGCAGTGATCGGCACCTGGAAATAAGACTATGGGTTTTTGATACAAGCACAGTAAGTGGGTGTGAATACCAGATACAGTGTCAGTGTGTGTGGAAGAGGAGGGCCTGAGGAAGGACAGTTAGAAGGAAAATACAGAGGCAAAGCAGTAATGGGACAAAGAAATGTGGTATTATCTGTTGAAGATATTTTATAATTTTATCAACTAGACTAGGGAGAAATGTTCACATACTGAAATATTTGCTTTGTAAGCTAAACATGTGATTGAATGTATACAAGAAAATGAAATAAAAATATATATATAAGACTATGAACCTTCAAAGGCACCTCAGCCTATGGGGCCTTTTCCCCTCTGAGAGAGAGGCCAGGCACTGTCCCCGCTGGCTGCTGAGAGGAAGCGGGGACTCCGTGGGCTGTGACATGCCCGCATCAGCTAGGAAGTGGCAGCTTTTGAACTCATTTCACCTCTGCACTGCCTTTAAAAAAAATTATTTTAATCTGATTCAAGTTAGTATGATCTAAATCGTACATCAGGGGATGACTTAGGAGCATTTGATCAAAAGAAGATCCAGGGTGTCTTAGAGAAGGAGGCCCCATCTTCTAATGCTCTGTCCCAGAGGGTGCTCATGCTAGTCTAACACCTGGATGTGGGTCCAGCTATGGTGGCACAAGCCGCTAGGACTGTGTGCTCTGCAGGCTGGAACCACACAAGGGAGCCAAGTTCAATGCCTGGCCCAACCTAAAGGCAGGGCATGGCAGTATGCACCTGTAATCCTCACAACCCAAGGAAGCATAGCCGGGAATATCAAGAGCTAGTGACTGCCCTGGGCAACACAGCAAGACCTTACCTAAGGATGAGCTGGGGAAGGCGGCACACACGTAGTCCAGCCTGGAGGCTGCGGCAGGGAGGGTCACAGCACACAAGACCCCATCTTTAAAATGGAATAAAATAGTGGCCAGTAGGTGGCATAATAGTTGAGGCACTAGACTCCCGCATGGCTGACCACAGTTCGAGTCTCAGACCCCGTGGCTTGAAAAACCATGCTAGGCACATGTGCATGCATGCCCAACATCCCAGGAAGAGAATGGAGGAGAGGAGATTGCAGTGTGGCCACCGCCCCCCACCAGGAGATGACATAGACTGGATTGATGGACGGAGAGACAGACAGACAGATAGATGGCTAGATAGAGGTTCAAGCACAGTAACAGGAGACCTAACAGTTGTATCATTGAAGTTCCAGAAGGAGGGGAAAGGAGGGTGGGACTAGAAGAATATTTGAAGAGGTAATGACTGAAACTTGCCAAATGTGGACACGCACACGTGGTCCAGCCTGGAGGCTGCGGCAGGGAGGGTCACAGCACACAAGACCCCATCTTTAAAATGGAATAAAATAGTGGCCAGTAGGTGGCATAATAGTTGAGGCACTAGACTCCCGCATGGCTGACCACAGTTCGAGTCTCAGACCCCGTGGCTTGAAAAACCATGCTAGGCACATGTGCATGCATGCCCAACATCCCAGGAAGAGAATGGAGGAGAGGAGATTGCAGTGTGGCCACCGCCCCCCACCAGGAGATGACATAGACTGGATTGATGGACGGAGAGACAGACAGACAGATAGATGGCTAGATAGAGGTTCAAGCACAGTAACAGGAGACCTAACAGTTGTATCATTGAAGTTCCAGAAGGAGGGGAAAGGAGGGTGGGACTAGAAGAATATTTGAAGAGGTAATGACTGAAACTTGCCAAATGTGGACAAAGAAACCTACAGATTTAAGAAGCTAAGGAAAACTCAAATAGGATAAACCCAAGCAAATAAATGGCAAAAACACAGCATAATATTATTTTCAAAAACTAAAAACAAAAGAATAGTCTCAAAAGCAGCCAGAGATAAATGACACATTACCTGCAAGGGACCAACAGACTTCCCATCTGAAGCCACAGCTGCCAGAATGGAGTGTCATGACGTTTTTCAAGTGCTGAAAGAACTATCAAGTTGTAAATTCTGTTTTTAATAAAACTATTCTGTGGGGATAAAGGGAAATAAAGCTATTTCCAGTCTAAAGAAAACAAAGTATTTGTTTTGTTGGCTAATGGAAGCTGCTCAAACAGAAAGAAATGACTAAAGAAGGCATCTTGGCACATTGAAAAGGAGGAAAGAACTATAAATACATTCAACAAGTCGTTCCTCATGCGTTCTGTAAATCACGTATGATGATAGAAGCAGAAGTTATACCTCCTTCCGGTACTTCGGGCAATGTTTAAAGGTGGAGAAAGGGCCCGGCCGTGGAGGCACAAGTGGTCAGGCGCCACTGAGCAATGCCAGAGCCATGTGGAAAGGCCCAAGGTTCCAATTCTGGGTCGGCCTGAATAAGCCAGGTGTGCCATGATCCTGGCTGTCTGGAAGGCTGGAGGGAGGATTATGGTGAGTCAAAACCCTGTTGTGGGTCCCTGACTCTCTCCCTCTCTCCCTCTTTCTCCCCCTGTGCCATTAATAAAGTAATTTTTTTTTTTTTAGAGATTTTTTTTCTGTAGAGTGTGTGTACTTGCCAGAGAGACAGGGAGAAAGCGAGGGGCATGTCCCCAGGGGGCATGGCTACACTGCAATCCCTTCTTCTCCATTCTCCTTTTGGGATTTTGGGTACACACACACACACACACACACACACACACACACACAGAGAGAGAGCATGAGTCTTAAGCCTCCACGTCCAGGACTCAAACCATGGTCAGCCATGTGGGAGTCCAGCAACATAACCGTTACACCATCTGCTGGTCCCAATGAAGTAATTTTTTAAATGGGGAAGGTAAAGGCACCTAAATGGAAGTCAGGCTTCTACACTTCACTCAAAGTGAGTACAGTTGTAGCTTAATGGACTGCAGTGTCAGAAGCCATGTGGCTCTTGTGGGTTCAGATCCCTGAGTTAGCCTGAAAATATGCTGGGCACTCGGAGGTGCCCAAGAACCAGACAGGCTGGGGAAAGGAGATCTCTGCATGGTGAGACCCTATGGAGGACGTTCCTCTGTCTCTCTAGCACACTCTGTTATAAAAGTGATGAAATGTTGATACCAGTAACTCATGATGAGTCGTATTATGTCTATTATAATGTTCAGGGTGACCACTATGAAAACTGTGGCTGTGGGACCAACAGTTAACATAATGGCTATGTCACTGGACTCCCATGTAGTCGACCGCAGTTCGTGTCCCAGACCCGGTGGCTTAAAACTCAAGCTGGGCGCATGTGTGTGCATGCCCAAGATCCCGAGAGGAGAATGGAGGAGAAGGGATTGTGGCATGGCCATCCCTTCTGGGGGGTGATCTCTCACTTTCTGTCTCTCTGCCTCTTTCTGTCTGGCTAGCAAGCGCATGCACCCTATAGCAAAAACCTCTCAAAAAATAAAAAAAA